AGACACCGATTTAGTGGCCGCTTTAAAACAAATTATTTCCAGTAGCCTGGCGCTTTTGTTGCATTAATGCCATCGTCCTCGCTTTAACAAAATCAATAAACAATAGACACGAGACGCACAATGGACATACGGATTATATGGTCAGTGTTTAACTATGATTGCAGGTATAATATTATAAAGTACAGCATTGTTATATATTTTACGGGCGTAGCGCAAAAATTGTGAATGAGTTAAATCGCGACGGCGGTGGCCATTCTTCATATTATTATTATGAATTTAGAGTTGCGGATTTGCAACATTTTTCACTTAAATATTTGAAAACAACATGGATGTGAGTGTGTCGTGTTCATTGAATATGATGCGTAATTTTACAGTTTCAAAAATGCCAACGTTCGAATGTGCTCGGCTATGCATGAACATCAATTTCAATCAAAAAATTGTTTCTCATTGCTAAATTAAATTAGAAGAACCCCCCAGTTTTCCATGCCTGCAAATTCAAAGCATCCAATTAAAAGTTGTCTTCATCATCCACTTTGAGCTACTCAATTTGGCGAGCCAAATGAGTTCGGTTTTTTTCCTCTCTTCATTCAATGCATCGTAATTTCCCGTCGCAAAAATTTCGTTATGTTTTTTTATGCTTTACACTTGGAAATTTAATCAAGAGTGCGTTTGGGGTTCGGTGATTGAAAAAATGGTACGGGGATTGAAAAATCTAAAAATAAATTTCCAAATGTGAAATGCGTCAGAAAATCGCATCTCCCAGCGTTACACTTGGGTGGTTAACCAATGGAATTCAATGCACTCCGGTCCCGAAGTCTAACCTAACCAGTAATAATAATCAAAAACACATATTCACAGCTCTTGAATTGGTAAGTAAAGAATGTTGAGATCAAATAAGTTTTTTTTTCGTTTGAAAAACAGTTGAGATTCCATTGAGGCGACAAAATCGTCCTGTACTCGACAACAATTCAGCAAACGCTTGATTTTTCCGCTCAGCTATTGTTGAATGTGTGGTGCCGTATTTTCATAATAATTCAATGAATGCGTGCATTTACGATGTATATGTTTTTTTTCTGTTTGGAATAATCAAATCTGCGACACAACACGATAAAGTTCTGCAATGGCAACAGCAAAATTAGTTATGAAATGGATTTTTCAATGTGAAATCAGTTTTTTTTTCTCGAAATGCGAGAGGGGTTGTTGCTCTTTAATCATACCGAACGAGAATGAATCGGAGGGTTGCAAAATACCAAATACACCCGCAACCAAATCAAATCGTATACACAACCACCGGAAAATGGAATTTTATTAAAAGTCAATTAAAATTTCTTCAAACACGCACATGTTGGAGAAACCTTTTGTTCACAAAGTGTTTTTTTTTCGATGTTGTGTTAGTGTTGTTATTTTTGTTCACCGTTTTGAGGGGGAATATTTTTACCGTTTCAAATAATTAAAAACTTATTTTAAATTTCCATGCATGTTGAATGAATATGGAAACGAATTGTAATTCGTTATTAATGTTGTTTGCTTTGTCATAAATTGAGTGCCATTTTTAAGACGGATGAAACATGGTTTGGTCTTTTGTTAGCGGTAGATTATTTGGTGTCAAATGAACGATAATCTTTTCGCACCGCGATCAAATTTCCCATCCGAACCAGTGCGCCCAGCTTAACCAAATAGTTTTTTATTTCACTGGATTTATCACAATTGTAAACAGGGTCTGCCATTTTTCACATACAAATTTGTGCATTTATAAGCGTAAAGTGGGTAATGTGTTGACATAAAACGATAACAAGAAATTACGATCTATACGTGACCACGAATAATAATAATGCACTCACGACACACACGACACACACGACATACACATAGTGACGCTAGAATAAAAAAAAACACTTCATCCAATGACCTATGTGCAAAGGGCTGCTTTGCACGCGTCACATTAAATAACTCAATAAGGATGAATTTTGATATTGTTTTCATTTAAGTATGCAATTTCGACGAAAATGCCACTGGAAAAATCTGCATACCAAAAGGTTTAAACAGTACCACGGTCACGTGTTCATGTTTATTCGCCAGAAATTTCGTATGCTATATACGTATTTACATTGGCCGCAGTTATTTAAATTGATTCAGGCATTTTCATCAAACAATAGACACTTTTCGAATGGTGAAAGTGATTTTGAATTTCGGTCTTGAGATGGAGATGTTTTCATTTTCGGCATCTAAACGAATTAATTTGTGTAAGTGACTGATGAATGGTGAAAGGCATTGTGTTTGGTGTTCAGAATCAAATTGCAAATGACGTTTGCATCACTGAAGATTCAGTGAAGAAAAGCGGTGAATGCCCTCGTGTCGCTGAAAGTGACTCTTTCATCTTCAATATTACGTTTATTCGGCCGCACAAAAAATATTCTCTGCTCAGGTTTGCGTTCGAAGAAGGGCGGTGCCGAATTTGATGTACGAATCGTAAAATTATTCGGTCGTATACGCAAAGAATGTTTGATATTAATCGCTCATATTACGTCGCATTAGACAATAGTCTATTCGATTTAAACATTTATTGCGTGCATAAACGTATGTAATATGCACTCACTGGATGTGAATGAATTTGTAAACAAGACGAACAAGCCGATGTTTCGATGTCAAAAAGAATAGGGTCGTATTTTTATGCATACATACACTTGCGCTCACTGCAAATACATGCCGAATACAACAAGCGTCGCGCTCACCCTTATCGCATAATTTTGTGTCCGCATTTTTCTCTATCGATATGGTTGTGAGCAAGAATCGTTCGCTGTTAGGGTGAACACAAGAGAAAAGAGAGAAGAAAAAAATGATGACTATGACGGATTCACAGTGTGGTATATTGTCTCACATTTTACAAAGAACATTTTAACGGTGTTTGATGCAAACGCCCGTTTAATATTTTGTACACATAAAAAGTTTGAATCGCGCGAACAAAAAGACAAGATTGAGTTTGAAAACAATTTCGAAACATACAAATTGTTTACAATATCAAAAACCATCGGAAATGAACAGAACAATATCATTTTTAAGCGATATTGTTTACATATTCCAATGATTTGTTTGCTTTTTTCATTTTGCCGCCACCGTATTTTATCGGATTATTATGAGCAGATTAATTGGCATTATATTCGAAAAATAAATTCTTTCGACATATTATCTTTTTACATCGTAAAACAAAACAGAAAAATCATTTCTCGAAATATATTGCCGTTTGATTAAGTCTTTCGCTATGAAGTCTATATCGTGCATAAAATGGATATCTCTCATCGTTGTATGATTTTTAATAAAATGTCTAGTAGACCCATCTATGAACGTTTAAGGGGAGTAAAAACGTATAGATTTGTCCTCTTTTCATGGAAACAATCTTTTTCCAGCATCCCTCATTGGAATGGAAATCTCTCCAAGCTTCCCCTTTTTAGCCGGCAAAATAATCTACACATTTATGTTTGTGGAGAAAGACTCGCCCACATTCAATGGAAATGTTGTTCATATTGATGCTGAACGCAGCAAATATCATTGAACTGATGCAAAATATGTACGCATGAATGAAATCATACCCCTACTATCACTGGAAGTAGACACAAACCGTTGAGTTTGTGCAGATTTTCTCTCTCTTTCCATCCTTTTCTTTCCTATCAATGGACGGGAAACACTTGTAGTATTTTTTATTCCAAAAAAAAGTTGTTCAGCAAGACAATTGGTTTGTGTCTCAGCTAAAAGATAACATCGACACGATATACTTAGAGTAGAGCTGTTTTTTGAAGTAAATATTGTTTTTAGTGCGATTTTTTCGCTCAGTTCATTCTTAAATCAGAAAAATTCAAAGTTGTAGTCATCGTGACTTCGCATGATGTTGTTAATTATACTTTGTTTATAAATATGATTCTAATTTGTATACAAAGGTGAAGTGAGATACTAATTACATCGAACGTAAAAACCAGTTTGATTGAAGTATATTTTTCTCAAAGGTTTTCAAATATAATATTCATTTGAAACGAATAGCCTTCTCCGATTTATATTGAAATAGAAGATCTTGTAATTGAATCATGCATCGTATGATTTTTTAAACAAATAACATCTCCAAATACACAAATAGCCCACTTAATACCCATCGCACTGAATGGTTTTACATCTAAAGTGGCAATGATTGTTTTGTTTATTAATGGAAATGTTCGTATTATTTTTTGCTTTGAAACTATCCATCATCTGAACTGCTAGCAAGACGATCGTCATCACGAAACATTCAACAATTCAATCATTTGCAATGATGCTATTAATTCAATTTTCGAAAAGATGTTTATTCAATCGTACATACAATGTTACATACGCACACACTTTCCGAACCGGTTTGAATATAATTTGTTGTTTGTTTGAATGTACGTTTGAAATGGCCAAAATCGTATAGTACTTGGTGTCTGCGTTTAAATTGGCTAAATGATTGCAAAACATAAAATTTTCAACGAAAATACGTCTAACGCTCAAATCAGATTACTTTGTGTGTTTTATGCATTTTACACGATAATATAATCTAGTTGACCCCAATGTCAATTTCCGACGACACAGCAAACAAATGACATGGTACATTTTAACAAACTACGCATAGCGAATGATCGCAACGAAAGTATTTGTATTCCGTTTTTGCTCTCTTTTGAAAATTCTTTTCGTCATTTGTGTTGAATGGTTTGGTGCGCTCACAGAGAGGCACTCACATAGACACGTACATCCGTGCACACCATCATACATATGAAAACATCCAGTGTTCTTTTGGTAAACATACGAAATTCCTTTGTACATCATTACGCACACATCGGTACCGAAACACACTTTGGCTACTTTGATTCAGTCCTATTGCGTATCATTTGATTGTATGTGATTCTTCTTCACAAATACAATCCTGCATAAGTGCATATCTACTTAATCATTGTGGCTGTGTATTAGTTTACTCTCGCTCAAATTCGTTTCACTCCGTATGAGAAGAGAGTTCATTGGTTCATTGTCAATTCTTTAATAAGGAAATCAGTCGTTGTTCAATTATTCAAGAGAAAACATCGAAAATGAAGTTCATCATCACTTTGATCGCAGTTTGTGTAGCTATTGCTGCTGGTAATTCTAGAAATTTTTATATATTTTTTTTTGTTCGAGAAATTTATAAATGAGAATGAATTTTTGGATTTGAATTATTTAGATTTTTTTTAATTTAAATTTTTGTGTCCAAGTTGCTTCGGTAGATATTTTATTTGGGTGTTTTTTTGTTGTTGTGCCACAGTATTGATTAGCTTTATTGTGCTACAGTATGATTGCACATTTCGTGCTACAATCTGCTTTGAGTATCATTAATGGCAAATAAAATGACCGTTTCTAATGTGACTTGTTCTTCCATCAATGTTCAATAATAAAATCACAAAAATGTTCGTAAACTACATAGTTTACTTTTCAAATTCAAAGTGTACTTATTGTAGTCATATCTAATTGTTGTCTATTTACGTTTCATTTCCAGCCGGAGAAATTTGGGAAGGAAAAGTGTATAAAAACTATGAATCAGTCAATTTCAACGACTATATGAAGGAGCTCGGTGTTGGTTGGTTCCTTCGTAGCGTTGGTAATAGCGTTTCGCCAACCGTTGAATTGCGGAAAATGGATGGAAATAAATACAAATTGATCACCAAATCAACATTCAAAGATACCGAACTCAATTTTGAATTGGGCAAAGAATTTGACGAAGTGACATTGGATGGACGTAACGTGAAAAGTGTGATGACATTGGAAAACAATGTATTAACACAAAAACAAGGCGGCGATCCACCATCCACTATTATTCGTGTGTTTGGTGAGAAGGAAATGGTTGCAACGATGTTGGTCAAAGATGTTAATTGCACTCGTAAATATAAGGTCGAAGAATAATTCGATTTAATTTAGTTTTCGTCTAACAAAAAACATTCCAATACAAATACATACTCAATCACAACATCTACGTACATACACACATATGTAAGTATTTTATTCTTTGTTCGTTTTTTTTGTTCCTTTTCGTTTCTTTTCCTCTTTCGCCTGAACTGATATTTCAGAGTCTTTGAATCAAAGACGAAACCATTTTTCAAAGACTTTTTAAGCGATAGTAATTTCCTTTGTTATCAGCCTCTTTTTTTTGTTGACAAATGATATTCCAACTGAATTTACGATAAGTGATTTTGTCCCATTAAAATAATCAGACTTTCTTATTTTTAACTCTATTTTCGTCGCATATCTTGGGGTCTATGATGTCAATAGAATTCAATTCATATTCGGTATTGATCGGTCGCATTTCCAATAGTCTTATCACATTTATTTAGGTCAATTTTTCATTTAACAACCAAACACACATTCTAATGAATCGCATTTTATTTCCTTTATTTCAGATCACGAAGACGTCACCATATCTAACCAAACAAGGTGTACATGTTCAAATAGTTCCGACTTTTATGCGATGAAAAAAACAAACAATAATCTTGAGATGAAAAAAATTGCCAGTGAAAATATATAGCTCGTTTTTAGTTGATCTTTTTTTTTTCTTTGTAACGTTCAGTTGAAATATATTATTAATACTTATCGCTATCTCACATATATATAACAATGTACAATGGAATTGAAAGACGAAAGAGAAAATAAAACCGTATAAGAATTATATGAGCAAAAGCAATTGATTTTTTTATTGCATTTTTTACTATTTATTCAATAGGCATTTTCAGTTTACGATTTTAAATGGAAATATCGGAATAGACATTTTGTACAAATGTATACACATTTGACATTGTTCATGGTTAACATGTTAACGTCAATGCCGTAACTGTGCATTAGAATTAGAATCGGTGAAGCTGTTTCAATGTATGGCTTGTCATTTTTAGTGGTGAACACACACTTAAAACTGTCGCGAGCCCCGATTTGTGTTTGAATTGAATGCAAGCGAGAACGTCTCGTCGAGCAGGTAGAAAAAAACTGGTTTCTCTTTCTTAGATTCATTGTCAATGCACATACACCTGGGTTAGATTAAATTACACATAAGCGCAGCATTAAAAATGAAGATTTTTTTTCACTCGTTTGTTGCTCTCCTTCTGAACAAAAAACGACTGATCACTTTTATCAAAACGCTTGGATGTATGTAATGGATCTGAAATTATGCAATTTTCATTAATTCCCCCCCTCATTGCTCTGTCGATATGATCTGATAAAAGGAACATTTGGCATGCGTGAGATCAGTTGATTTTCAATAACTCAACAACTAACATCAAGAATGAAATCAATCGTTGCCATTCTATTTATCGCCGCCATGACATCTGGTAGGCATATGGTTTTTTAATTAATATTTGATTTTCGATTCAATTGATAGATTTTTCAATCGTTTATCCAATTTTATTAATTTTTTGGTTTTGTTTTAAATAATTCAATTTTAACTAATTAAAAGGTGCCGAAGTTTGGGAGGGTAAAAAGTACAAAAACACCGAATCGAAAAATTTCGATGAGTACATGAAAGCGATTGGCGTTGGATATTTCACGCGCACCATCGGAAATTCCGTCCAACCAACCGTGGAGCTGAAAAAACACGGCGATAAATACACTTTATCAACAACATCGACATTCAAAAATTCGGACCTCACATTCGAATTGGGCAAAGAGTTCGAAGAAGAAACATTGGATGGTCGCAAAGTGAAGAGTGTCATGACATTAGATGGAAATAAATTGGTGCATAAACAAGGTGGCAAACCACCATCCACAATTACACGTGAATTCAAAGCGAACGAAATGATTGCCACCATGAAAGTAAAAGATGTTGTTGCCACTCGTAAATATGTTGTCGAACATTAAATGTTGATATTTACTTTTGGCATAAACAAATCGAAGACGAAAAAGCAAAACGTTTCTACGTCATAAATGTTTTGTTTAACCTGATTTGGATTGAACTTTTATGATCTTTTTGTTTTCTTCAATATTATTTATTTGAGATGTCGCAGAGCGCAAATCGTGATATTAAATTATTTATATCAAAATTTGGACTTTTGACCAAACAATCAAAGTGCAAGTGGAAAATTGAGTTTTAGATCTTGACAATTTCGAACAAAAATGTTTATGTTTAGTTTTATTTCAGAAAGTTTTTTTTAAAAAAAATGTACAACAATTTCGAGTAAAATAAAATGTGAAAGAAAGCATTTAATGTGTATGCACTTAAAGTCAATATTGATTCAATGTCAATGATTCCATTAATTGAAAAAATAAGAGATGGCATTGAATTTTTTTTTGCTCCAATTGTCTGGGGTTATCATGCAAATGTTGATCTCATAAATATTAACAAAAATACAAACAACAAATCTCGGCAGTTTGAGGCAGTTGAGGCAAGTGTATTAGTAGTCGCTAGTATCTGTAGCGATCGGCTGCTAATTAAAATACCAACAAAAGGCAATCAATGAAGAAGACATGTATTCAGAGATCAAAGGATGAAATTGATTGTGTTCACATTTTTTTTCCTTTCTGAGAAGTAGGTCATTGCTCATCGATACACACGTGTTTTTGATGTACTAGAGTATGATCGTTGTATTTACAGAGGGAATGGTTCAAGTCTTCGATATATGGAGTGTGTACTTTGTACTAAATCCAAAATAAAAACAGTTCAAAGCATTATGACCAACTTTCTGAACGTTTTCGACTGACTCAATCGGATTGAATTATATCAATTTCTCCGCAATCAATAACGAAAAATTTCAAATATCGATTTTATTTTCTCAAAATATCCTCAGAACACTGCAAAGTATGTAATTGCTGTAAACTATTTTCAAATAAAATCTTCGCGTAGCCTGGGGAAATAAACATTGGAATCTTTGTGAAATTATCTAAAAACGAAACAATTTCGTAACAATTGATGAATTTCTAGGAATGTACGTTAAAATGACTTCTTTCCATTTCAATACAATCAACGATGGTACTTTCGGTGCAAAGAGAATATTGCAGTAAGCAGCAGTAAGTGGTGAGAGAACTATTTATTTGAAATTTTCTGCTTGCTCAAATTAAGCTTCAAATCTAATTTCGAGGTTTTATTTCGTATGGTGTGTGGTGGCAAATTTATTGTAATGTGAGTAAATGTTGAAGCATACATGTGTGTATCATATCACAGCCAAACACGGTGGTGCCGTCGAGAGAATTCGGTTTCCAGTTTTGAGCAACAATAAATAGGATTAAAATTAAATATTTTTCCGACAAATTATTACGATGGGATTGTTGAAAACCTACACATTCGTTCATGCATGGAGTTTAAATTAAAATCTTTACAACTGATTTAAATAGAATAACCTTTTATAGCATGGTGTCGTGTTCAGTGTCGCACATATTTCTTATTTCGCATAAGGAACGCTTTGGCATACAGTTGTGTTCTTTGGCCAATGAATAAGGCATCATTTGGTAAGCTACATCATTGTGTGACTTATTTCGTTGAATTACAATGAAACCAAATTAACGTTTATTTTCATTAAAAATATTTACGTTTTCGGTTTTGCCCAACTACCAAAAATCGGAATGAAAAAACTTTTTCTATGTGGAATACATTGGATTATGGAATTGAAAATGGTTCGAGACTGAACATATTTAATCTAAAATTCGTACTTGTTGTTCATTTCGTTCATACGGTCGATTTGATGTCAAATGGCATGACAGCTTAGCTGGCAATGTGGATTGGAGAGTTGATTTCAATTTCAATACAAAGTTCTCTCTATACAAATACAATAATGAGATTTTCTCATGAAATAATTTGTCATGCGAAATATTTTCGGCCGGATGGGACTGGACGGCCTGCAGATGGGAATTACAAAAAAGGGTCAAAAACCTTTTGCGACAAACAAATTGCCGAGTTTAATTACTTCAATAAATAAAATGTTCGGCTTTAGAATTTTAATAGAAACTTGAATGAATTCTCCAAAACAGCAACAGTGAGTGTGATGAGTATGATGATATCTGTCGTTTTGTGTATAGATACGTTAACTCGATGGATGAGTTTTACATTTTTCGCATTCTGTAAATGTTATCATTATATGCGTTGACTTATCGATTTAAAGTCTTCTCTGTCTGATGCGGATTCATACACACATACAAACTTCATGATAACACATTTACTTTGTTTACGAGTAGTTTTAATGAAAATATGTTGTTCTCGGAGAATGAAAAAAAAAAACCGTTGTGTGCGCTTCATCGTCACCATCGAGTTTTGTTGCAACAATGTGGCGGTAAATTGATAAATTTTCTCAGTTCGCGTTCGCAGTGGTTTCCCAAGGTGAAAATGAAACGAGAGGGATGCCTTAGTTGGTTTCCCGAACATTTGTGTGGATGCGACAAAAATCCGATATATATCCACCACAAAGAGATGTAATAAAATAAGCGCAAAACGAAAAATGCCGACACACCCTCCTTCCGAAGCATTGCGTCTATTTTCGAAAGATATATCTGGTAACCGAAAACTTTTCTAATAAAATGTCTGTTTTTTCAGCTTCTTTCCACCAAAGTGATTAAATTAAAGATTACAACACTTGTGTTCTTGTCACAACCGAATTGAGTTGATATAGAGACAGCGTTTCACACACAATACCCGACAATTCATTGACAACGAACCGAGCACGATGTGCAGTATATATGGAGTAGATTCTTATCTCCGGTTTCATTTTACCACCGAAATGAATTCGATGGGATGTGTACGTTCGCTCGCTCGTTTTTTTCTTCATCTTTCAGTTAATTACATGACAAGCTAATTTGTGCCATAAAGTTGATGATTTTTGAAGGAGTCGAACAGTGTGGTGCACGTCTTTTAAAGCGATAATTTAAAAAGAAAATATCCGAATGAAAAAAAGAATGTAAAATTTTGCTTGTCGCTTTGACACGTACATCTGATACACAGACGTTTCACTCTTATACAGCAATGGATCAGTTGATGTGCACAAATAATAATAAAAAACAGGGAAAATCGCATAAATCCCGGGAATGAGGGAGAGAAAAATGGATGATGAAAGAGAAAACATAACGAATATTGAATGCGCTTCAGGTAAGAAAGAACAATTTTCACCAAAAATGCGAACCAAAGCCAATGTGTATTAGTTACGAGAAAAAAAAATCCAATATCTATAACATTATATTTTTCCACAACATAACACTCAAAAGAAGCTCAATTAACTAAACCTTCTGCTATATCATTGCCTATTGGGGATTTCTTGGCGCTGCTGCCATTCGATATTGAGCCATTTTGAGTGTACATCGTACACACCTAGACCCACACCGAACACAAGACATCGTTCACCTTCCGTCCGTTGTTTATCTTATTTGTAACGTATTAGGTTTTTGCACACGCAAGCAAGAAAGAAAAAAAACTTCCGAATTATTAATATTGAAGTAAATCATTTTGAAGAGGAAAATATATAAGAAAAACTTTTGTGCAGCGATATTAGATGGTTTGATGCTTATACATGAAAAGAATAATGGTGATGAAATTCGCCCGACAAGGGGAACGAATATCTGTACGCCGTCAGCCGCAGTCGATTTTCGCAGAACAAAAGGAAAAGTCACAAGACACATTACAAATTACTGTTAAACGGGTGATACGTTTTCAACATTCGCATGTCTTTTGTGAATCATCGGTGTGCATGCAAAAGTGCGCTTGTGGCTGAAAATTGAGACTGATAAATTGAAGTCGTGCTGATAACAGTTTGAGGTCATAGACATTGAATATACGTTCAGCTTTTTTACAATCTGCTTAAAAGTTGCAAGCATACCAATAATTTGGATATTTTTTTCTTGGCAGTTCATTAAAATCGAGTGAAGTGAGTAAAAATGATCATTTCATTGAAAAAGTACCACTAAAATTAGTTATGAGTCGTTTGTTTTGGTCTCGTGGTGGGACTTTTACTGCGGGTGTATGTATCTTGGCAAAAGATCTTAACAAATCGAAACAATTTTCACCTTGAAAAACCGAAAAATGTGAAAATCAAAAAAGTTCCTCACTTTCTCGCCAAGAAACCCCAGCAAAAGAAAGAATGGGTTTTTTTCATTTTGTAGACCGGGCGAATCCCGTACACATGAGAGGCAGAAGGGGCAAAACACGGAAACCGCCTCCCCCTCTCGACCCCATGGTATTGACTTCTATCTTGTCGACAGAATCTGAGACATCAAGGCACGCAAATGGGTATATTCTTCCACTTCTATAGACCACAAGGGCCAATGTTTGAAACATTGCACGTAAAATGAAACATCTTATGGGCAACATCGACAAAATTCTCCTAATGAAGTCATCGCTGGGCGAATAAACAGTGTGGCGCGTCGTCGCCAAATTGAACATTTTCATATTCTTGCAACAAGGAAAAAATAATGACTTTCAAGATAAAGCAATAACTTCCTGTTTAATATGTACGTCAAAACATCGTTAGATTTGCACGTTCATACTCACGGCAAAGCAATGCGACAAAATTACATATTTGCCGGTACAAAAAAGAGAAAGAAAGTGAGAGTGTGTGTGCTTTTTTTTCTCGTCAAAATGATTCGCGCATTCTGTTCTCCAGTTAATGTCATTGCCGGTTTTTGTTTGTGTTGATGAAGCTAAGTTTATAAATATAAATGCAAAGCGTCTACTTCTTAGCATATATTATTTTAAAGGTGTCACATTAAAGTAATAAAAATATCTTATGTACGAGGCACAATAAGAAGATACGGAACACGTTTCACTTTTACATAAACACAAAACACTGAGCTGTTGCTGCTGCTGCCGTTGCTGTTGTGATGTTAGCACATGGCGCGTTAAGCAAAAAGTGGAACAAATCTGTGAACATTTGTTCTTGTTAGTGAAGGAAAACACCGTCTTTTTCCCCCGCACAATGAAACGGAAACGCCAACATAGAACGAAATTTTTTTATTTAGGTAGACTCAACCAATACAGCACCGAATCGAATGGTGTAGATAGAGAGGCAGAACACTTTGCGCCGGCATTTTTCTACATAGAATGATGGTAATAATCATACATTATGCATAATAAAAATAACAATATAATAAAAACTACAAACCAAAAAAGGCGAAAAGAATGAAAAACAAAAACCCATCAAAAGCGCTCGCACACAC